TTATGTTAAGAAATTACATAATTTCAAAATTACAAATTACATGAAAATTAGCTTACCGAAAACTTACGCAAAATTACGTAAAATTACGGTAATTTGACATCCCTAGGTGTACTATATTAATCAAAACTATATGTGGCCATATAATAAAATTTATTAATGAATATTTTTTGATAGCAATCGATAGGTAACAATTTTTGTAATAATTATTACAAAATTTTAAATAGATGCACAGCTCTAAAGGTTCGATAATAACTACACTAGTTACTACCGCGTTGTAAAATTATCCGTTGTAAACTATTGTTTGGAGTTTGAATTTATTTTTCGGGTATTACTCTTGAGCTGGATGTAGAATACTGCTGTACTGTTTACATGATTTATGCTCAATTATTTTAATATCATTTCAAATAACTCGTACATACTACGTATACGGCTCAATTAGATTAAAACAATATCAAGCGTCTAATTTGAGTTAAAAATTATTTTTTTGTATAAATTAAAAATAAAGTTAGACTATTTTTGTAAAAGATTAACGTGAATGTACGCTATAAATAACAATCAAAAAATTTATTTTAATACTATTATCATTGATCATGAGTCTGACAGGCGCTGAACACCATGAACTTGGATGGACATATCAAAATGGCATTAGAGTCGAGAAGGACGAGCACAAGGCTTTTGAATACTATAAAAAATCTGTAGACATGGGACATGCAATTGCAACTTACGATGTTGGATATTGTTATCATTATGGAATTGGAGTTGAAAAGGATGAACATAAGGCATTCGTTTATTATCAAAAATCTGCTGACATGGGGAACGATAATGGAATTTATATGGTTGGATATTGTTATGACTTTGGAATTGGAGTTGAAAAGGATGAACATAAGGCATTTATTTATTATCAAAAATCAGTAGAGATGGGTAATTCTAGTGGAATGAACAATCTTGGAGATTATGAATTTTGGATGGATCTAAAAAAATTACACGATTTTCTAGAACCATTTATCATTTTTATACGTAAATTAGAAAGTGATGAACCGTATCTTTCTTCAGCTTATAAAACTTTACAAAACTTAAAAAATACGGTTACAAATAATTTAGAAATTTCTGAAGAACTGCGTGATGATACTTTACAAGCGGCCCGACATAGATGGGTCAATTTTTTATATAATCCAGCAGTTATTGTTGCATACATTCTTGATCCAAGATATCGGGGTGAGGGTCTTGATTCTATTACCTGGGGAAATATAGTTAATGCTGAAATACTCCGAATTGCAGGTAGTGTTCCGAATTGGTCAAAATTTTTCAAATCTAGTTTTTTTTTTTTTTTTTTTTTTTTTATATATTTTATAATAAATTTTTGATCGATTAGCGTTAGCATTAGTTGGTTAAAAAAATTTCAATTACGTAGTCAACTAGTTGGTTTTTTAACTAATAATTTGGATTACTAATTGCAGGTGCTGATAACGAAGATCAAGTATTGAATGAATTGTCTGAATATATCGGGAAATCAGGAGGTTTTGCAAAAAAATATTTGTGGAATGATCTTACCTTAAAACCGCTTAATTGGTAGAATTTATTAAGTGTGCAGTATCCTATTTTAAGCCAAGTTGCACGAAAAATCTTGTCAATTCCAGCTACTTCAGCAGCTAGTGAGAGAAATTGGTCATCTTACGGGTTTATACATTCAAAATTGCGTAACCGAATGCTTACTCGAAAGGTTGAAAAACTTGTTTATATATATT